GTGCTGATTCCTCGAGGTCGGTGAGTTTCTGGTTTCGGGGTCGGAAATCGCGTTGTGGAATAGCTCCCTTGACGCGGTCGTAAGTAGTAGAATATGGCGCATCGTACCTTGTACAAGCTGCTTTTAAGCTTGTAAATTGACCCTTATTGTATGCACTGATTGCAAGAGCAATTTGACCTTCTTTTCGAGACATTTGAACAATAATTGGGTAAGTTATGTAGATTGAAAGTGTGTAGGGTGGTCAATGGTGGGGTAAAAAATCCGGACTGCTTATAAATCCGGACTCCTTATGAAGTACGTTATTTGCTATAAGAGTACTGATAGTGCTTGACCTTTCAGGACGCCGCCTGGTCTTCTCTTATCACGTGAACACGTGATTCGTGACAGTGGGGTGTATGTTTGCTACTATAATAAATATAGAAACGGTGAATGATGGATCTCATGATATGATAGGAGGTGTAGGTAGTAGCTACCGGTGATTTATTTGGTGATTTTGATTTGAGCTATACTAAATGAGAGGTCTTACAAATGAGAATAAGAGGTAAAGAAGAGGGAGAAGACAAAGGAGGATTTCGTAAGGCGTGTTGGGGTTTTCCTGTGAGTGGAATGGACTTTCTTGGGGGAAATAGAAAGGGGTTAGTACGATGCTTGGAATCTTGGTGTTATATGGTGGTGATGCGGAATGGCGAGAACCCTGAGAATGAAATCGCGAGAGTGATTTACGATCGGTCAAATTAAATGTGTATAGGATAGGATAGTATATAGCCTATAGGCCTTTACGTCCAATCTCGGTATAAGAGTCTCCAGGGATCCGAGGAACGAGGGACAAATCCACATCGAGACGAGAGCATTATACTAGATTGCTTTACGTCCTGATATCGAGGGGTTTAGTAGCTTTTCTTTTTTCTAAAGACATATTGTTAAAGCGATAAAGGGGATGAATGAGATGAATGGTAGGATGTGTATGTAATGAAGAAAAGAATTTGGATGGGGGAATAAGGTGAGGGTGGTTTAATGAACTCCCCCTTTTTAAGCGAGCACGGGTGTAACTAACTCTGGCCGACATTCTGGTTGGAGATAGAGATGGTAATAGGTAAGGATAAGGAAGGACTCTGTACTTTTAAACCTGATCCTTGAACCACAGTAGAGAGGAGAAAGGTTGAATTGAATTATAGAGTTAAAACACTTGAGTTATTATAGGTAGGGGATAAACGTAGATAGAATACTTATATATTAATAGTACTAATATAGATATTATAAATAAATATAGATATAGGTTTATAAATATAGATTTAACTCGAAGAACTAAACGACTAGTAATTATTATTTTATTTATTTATTTTTATATTATTTTTACTTTTAATAAGAGAATCTTTCATAGCGAATCCTTCCCTTCTAGACTTAAAAGGAACTAAGAAAAAGTAAAAGTTTACTTAGTATAAAGTAAAGTAAAGTAAAGTTGTTCTCCTATATAACTAACTCTTTCCGCTAGAAAAAAAAGCCCTTCGACGTACTAGGTTAATCATATTCCCTAGTAATTAATCCGTAGAACTATAGAAGTTCTTATATAAGTATTTATATAAGTTATCGTTTATATAATACAATTAAATTTCAGTTCAAATTCTTATTTTACTTATCTATTTATATTCCTTTACTCCTCGCTTAATCTATAGACGTAAAAAAGATCTCACGACTAAAGTAGAAAAGGACGCTGGCAGAGTTAGGGAGATACTAGATAATAGGGCAGTAACCCAACTGGGCCCATCACTGGTCATGAAACTCCGCTAGGAACATTTTATCTCATCCCTTCCAAAGATCAAAGACGAGGGTAGGACATGCACGCAAGTAGACGCGATAATTGGATCAAATTAGGACTCAAATTCCTGGAAACCTTGCCTGGTAGGCTAAACGACTATGGTTTACGGGGAGGATATTGTAAAAGTAGATACCTTTTCTCGGAATTTACTCCCATTTGCTGGACGCCTTACCCTAGCCTTTGCTCTTTAGAAGGAATATATATAGTTAGTAGGGATACTAGACGGACTCGGGGTGTATAGTATGGTGATGATTATGGGATGTCTCGGCTCCATCCACTGCTGGGCGGAGATTGTCTAGCTCTTGACTATTGTATGAGAGGGTGGGTGTCTAGGAGCTCGAAGAGAGGGCAGAGAAAACAAGAGCTATTCGCAGAGCATGTGAAAACAGAAGGGGAAAAGCTGGGAGGATTCTACGACTCCAGGGGAATGTCTCTTTCATAGAAGGGGTCGGTTGACCACGAGGCTTGCGGAAGCAACGTATAGAGGCCGTCTGTAGAAGCACCTCTTGCCGGTGGCTTGATCAAGGCTGATGAGATTGTAAGAACCACATACTTCAGAAGACAAGGTAGGAGATCCGGGGCTGTAGTCACGGAAGCTTTCCGATTAACTCTTTTAGGTGATATACACACGTACGAAGCTGTTTTTGGTTGCGGGGAGTGAACACAGGCTTCTGCTTAAAAGACCAAGATAACAAGTGCCGAACCACCGAGTATTGTATTGACCGGTGGGTGGACTCGCTCAGGATGATCCGATCTGTAATCCTTGATCAATATTGCCATTATGAAGTAGTCAAAGAAATTGAGACGACGCCACAAGTCATATTAGTGGCGTCTGATTAAGTAGTGAAGAGAAGTAAGTAGTTACGCTTCATGTACTCACATGTTATATCCTAGGCTACTTTGAAACTCCGAAAAAGATAGTCCACGTTTCGTCTATCTTGCTATAGCGATTTTGAGGGCGAGCAATGAGATAGCAAGGAATTGGAAGGGGAATATATCAGCGCAGGCTCTGACAAGAGGACGATAAAGAGGTGGTTGGGGCTGCGTCGGCGGCTGGTTATAGTACGAGATTAGTGAATAGCACTACATTACGGCAAGGGAGAAAGATGTATACGTATCTCGACATTTGCGACTAGTTATAGTAATGTTTGAGCTATTCTCGTACCATGCAAGTGCTGCTCAGACACTTTTAGATTTCAGCTTGTACGAGTTTATTAGTATCATCGAGAAAAAAAATTGGTAATGTAATTCCGCTATGCCTTGAGAGCTATTTGAATTTATAATGTCACGTAGAGAATATGAACTTGAGTGAAGTCCGATTCCTGCTGCGACTTGATTACTATATTGAGCTACTCGCATCTTCACTATTGCGCGGCTGTTTCTTGCGATAGTGAGTAACCTCCTTGTATTCAGCACACACAGAAGCGGTCTCGGCTGTGTCTAATTATAGGGTGAAACCTTTATCATTATGATCTGATAAGTAGGTTCGGAAGGATAGAAGCCGAGACATTCATAACGGTGCTTTCAACGACTCTTTACATATGCGAAGCCCGATATCTCACTTAGAGTAAATAACACTCCTACTATCCAACAGCGGGTATAGTACTCATGCTATCTAACAGAGCCGGCATCGGGGTTTGATTAATGATAGCCTGATTAGATTAAAGAACCCCGCCCGCAGGATTCACTAATAGGTATGCATTACGTTTGTATTATGCCGGACATCTGAATATCACCGATCTGGCCAACCGAACGTAGGCTTGCGACATGTGCTGGCACACACACAGCTACACACACACCTACACACACACCTACACACGTAGATCTATGCTACCCTACGGTGCCAACCAAACTGGTATTCCCGTAGCAAGAGTTATCGGACTTGCGTACCGATCTGGCCCCCAATTTTCCTAGCCAGGACTTTGGCTTTGTTACCTCAAGGACGTAGTGAGGTGTGGGCTGTTTCTTTGACTTCTTTTTTAGGGCAGTTTTAAGTAGTCAGACATTTTTTTTTTGGGATCGAACCAAACACCCACTCCACTACCAGTGGCCCACCGAGGACTTGTATAAGCTTGTTAGTCCATCCTCCATTTAATTTGCCCTATAAACACTGTGCGTGCTATTGCTTGGCAGGGTTTGTCAAGTCTAGATTCACTCGAGGAGGTAACCTATTTCAAGGTCCTGACTTGTTCTCGTTCCCCCTGATGTATTCTGGGAATTAAGCTAGTGTGTGGTAAGAAATCGGCAGTTCATTTGCTTGGGAAAGATACACTGGATGATTATGGAGACAGTATGAATATTAATGAATGAACACCGGGTTGTGCTTATCAAGGACCTCTTCAGCCGACAGCCGACAAGAATTTGGATTTCCTATTGCATTTGGATATCGGCATGTGCTTATAAAGAGCCACACATTTGGATATGATTAGTGACGCTGGGGCACCAACTTTTGATTTTCTAGCGGCAATTGTTATAACATATTGATCTTAGCAGAGGCTCCTGTCTCTGCTACCTGAGCATTGTCTCGGTTGCCTGTGTGGATGCCCAGTATTCGGCTTCTACTCTGTCATGGTCGTCATATAAAGACTCGCTACTTGGCCCCTTAGCTAGTTCTCTATCTTACTTTCACTCTTTACAGCTCACTTTAACAGTCTCCTGCCTTGTCCTTAGCACTTGTCTCAGATAAGGGAGCGTGCCGTGACAAGAAGAATATATAGACTTGTAGCCTAGAGAATTGAAGGCTAGCTAAGGGCAAGCAGGGAGTCTTATAAGACTACCCTGAACGAGGAGAAGCCTTTAGAATACCAGCCATTTACTTTGCAACCGAGACAGGGGTCTCGGCTAGCTAAGACCCACCATATTATAACAATTGCCGCGACGACAACGCAACATCCTTCCCACAACACGTACACAACACCACAGATTCTACCTTTCGCACAACTATCTGGCATTTTTGGACTGTTACTAAGCCTCCAAAACACCATAGCAGAGCTCCTGCAATTGTATCTATCTGGTTGCCGATTCACCACGCAGCAATGAGCTGGTGGATATTATTACATCGTACCAAAGGCTAACCTTCTATAGGCAATGCACAGTCAAAAACCTGAATATACTGCTAACTATCTACCTCCGCCTCCTTAACTCGCAAAAGAGCCGAAGCAAGATCTATCTGAACCCTCCTCAAGCCCGTTGACAAAGAAGACCAAGCCCCAAGTTGCCCAAGCAGCAAAGCGCGAGCTATCCGGACCTTCCCCAAATCCACCAGCGAAGAAGACCAAGGCAGAGGCTCAACCAAGACGTCAAACTCTTTCAGAAGTAAGACACACACTCTCGAGGATAAGCCTTACATCTTTGTGCCAAAGAAGTCCAGAAAGAATGACGTCCCTTTACAGCCTGACTCGTCTACCGCCCAACAATTGAGGGACATGGTACCCGTAGAGGCAGAGCTTGAAGAGGTAATATATGACGAGGAAGGCTGGTACGTGGTTTACAATTCGACGCGCGCTGGCAAAGATGCTATGTATGGATTTGGCAAAGAGTTTGAGTGGAAGGGTTACCGCAAGTATGACTTGCAATACATTGCGCCCCTTTGAGGAAGAGGAGAAGGTACTGTATATTATGGAAAGTAATTTTGCATAACCCCAATGTGGGTTAGGCAGAGGGGAAAACCCATCATGGTGTAAGGATATGATCTTTTCTTCACTTGAAGTAATCTTCGGAGTTACTTCCTGTAAGTATTTTGCATCCTAACCAACACCGTTATGGTATGAAGGTTATTATGACGGTACATTTGATTGCTTCGGCATGGATTACGGATCATTTGCATGTAATGCATGTAATGCATGTAATAATATCTCCAAACAAGCATTACTCCTAGTAGTTTGTGTCACAATAACTGGCAGCAAGATAGTAAATTGAATTTCAGTTTCTGAGTTGGAGTATGCTACATACAGCAAAAAGCAGATGAAAACATCTGATGATAGAAAGTACTAACGCTAGGGAACTCCAATATGAATTGTAAAGTACTCCACAATCTCACCAGATACTTGATAGAAGGAAGGCAATAGTATGGTGCAGGACACAGGCATATAGAAACCTCACCAATTGCCCCTGAAATTTAAGCGAGAAGGGTAATAAGCTTTCAATGAGATTTCATTCAAGCAGGGATATCTTAGCCGGCATATTTACATTTTATTGCACCAGCTTTCATCCAAGCGACACAGTCTTATCATGCGTCACATGGTCAACTCAAAGCGGAGATACTATCAATTCATTTCATACCAAGAACACACACCATTGGGTATCATCGTTTCCATCACAAAAGGAAGCATAAACGCCGCAAAACAAGCGACCGCCACCCCAGTCCATACCCCATTTATCCCATACATACACAAAACAACCTACCCAATCCTATTATCCAGAGAGTCAACCTTGAGCAACTCAAGCTCCATCCTCTCCGGGAATAACGAGCTTAACACTCTTCTTCCTCTCCAACCTTCCCTCCCCTCCTACGCGTACACCCAAAGCAATTCTCACCCCCTCAACAGCCTTACTTTGCGTGACTTCTTTATCATCTCTTCTTACAATCCCCCTGCCGAGTGCAGCTCCCCTCCCCATAGGGGTCAATCGAGAACTCTCCCTGATCGCAGCATTCATTTCCCTCCCCTTTATAGCCTTCTTCTGATTATAGAATTCTGTACGCCAAGGACCAGGAAGGCAAGGGTGCAAACATCCTTCAAGTGGACAACAGCCATCTGAGTTCGTCGGACGTTCCATAGAAGAATTGCTTGTATTGATTTTGGACTTTGATGATGATGAATTGGAAGGTCCATGCCAAGCCTCCATACAAGCCGCATGGCCTCCATGGCCACAGCCAGGACAATACCACCATAAATTCAATTTCGAAGCCTCTTCATCCTCTCCCTCATAACCGTTGACATCTTGTAACTCCCTATGTTTACATATCGGACAACCGTCGATAGGACCCCTACATCTCGGACACCACCACTGAGAATTAGGGATCAAGGGGTCGTTATCGAAGGGCTTTTCACATTCGGTGCAGAAGAACCCAAAATTGACATTCTGCTGTGACATGGCAAATACGGATGGGTATCTTGACACACAAAGATTACGCAGCATGGCAGCTTCGACGAAGAGTAGGAGTTGCGTAAGTCGATGGTGGTATTGTCCCATAATTGCGTTGGCCCAAATAGGATCGATGGTGTCTGGAGGAAGAAGGGGGACAAAGAGGAGGACCATTATAGCAGCAGTTAGGGAACCACTTTGGCATTCGAATTCTATGGACCGCTCAAGTAAAGTTATGGGATCAAGAGGAGCAAATGAGAATCCAGGATCATTGGGCTGGGGTAGGAAGTCAGATTCGATGATGTTGGGGTCGGCAGGTGGCTTCTCCGTGGCGACCGGGCTGGCAGGAGGAACTTCAACGGGCTTCAATTCGATCGCCTGGGTTTCTGATTGCAATGACGGTTCTTGTAAGTGAAAAACCGGTGGGACTGCCGGATCAAAAGAAACCCCACCATGGCCCTCTGTGCTGGCGGCAACAGAACTTGTTGCAGTTTGTACGACCGAACTACCATCAGTGACATCAGTAGCATCTGTAAGGGTTTCTGAGTCGAGGCGACGTCTAGGCTGAGATGAAAGACTATTTTCCCAAGTCGAAACTCGATCCCTTAATGAAACACCTTGTGGTTGTCCTTGATCACTGGTTGAGGAGCTTAGGAATTTGGTTTGCTGCGAATCACTTGACGTTGAAAACATTTGAAAGCTCTCACCAGAATCATGGCGCTGAAGTGGATGTATGATCGGTTGCGAATCGCGCTCAATTGGATAATCGAGCCTTAGAGGGGGCTTTCTTTGTGGGGCATTAAAATTAACCACTGGAGAAACCGAGTCGATTCCATAAAAATCATAATCATCTATACTAGGAGAGCTCTCGACGTTATTTTGTACTGCACCAGGAACAGGTATTGGACTCGGCGTTGAGGGTAATAGCGTTGTGGAGAGGCTCAGAACGTCGTCGTCTACGTTTATCGATGTATGCATTGCTTCTCTTGTCTGCGATACAATTTGGTCACGGACAGGGCGTACGAGAGGAGTGGCCACGTTTGAAGTGCTTTCTATATCGTCCGGTATAATGGTGATTGCTGAATGGTGTCGAGGAGGAGTTGGAACAGGACTAGGAGCCCGACTTTTCTTTTGAGGAGTCTCCCAGCCTCTTCGTTTCCTCCGAATCTCATGACCACGGGGCTTGGGTGCAATCGGCGGTTCTGAAGCTTGTTCATTCTTTGGGGGAGTCTCTGGCAGGAGCCTCTGTTGTCGATGATATTCTGCACGTCTTGTGAGAAGGAGACCAACAGTGTAACCAAGAAGTCTCCATGTTTGAGCCAGACGATAATGGCCAACACCTTCAGATATTTCCGCAAAACTATTGGTGAGGTGTGCTAACTGAACACTAGGGTCGCCAGGCTTTGATTCTTGACGTATATACTTGTCTAAGAGTATCAGATATCCACTTGAAAGATGTCGATATGTCACACGCTTTGTAGTACCAGGGGCATGGCCAACGGCCATCACTTGTTGAGATTTGTAGATTCCCGTTGTTTTCACCGCATCATCCAAGGGCATGACCTTGTGTTCAGCCATTCCTGTGGTAGTGGGTGGTGTAGAGCTAAATGACTTTGTACTGTTTCGTCTTTTTTTAGTTTTTCGTGGTCTTGATCCCAGGAAGCTGCCAACAACGTCTTCTTCAGAATCACTTCTACTGACACTCAACAGCGGTCCACTGCCACTATCAAAACTTGGAGAAACTTCAGAGGGTGTGATGGTGGGACGGGAACGCCTTCTTGCTGTTTGACGTTCTTCAAGCATCATTAAAACATCACCAGAAGGGGAGAAACTGAAAGTAGAAAGGCTTCTACGGTCTATGACTTTCGGCATGAAAGCAACGTCAGTCTGGGTAAAACGTCCGTCTTTATCAACACTCCATAAAAGGTCTCTTGAGCTCCACAACAAGCCAGTTGGAGCGCTACCCCATTGCTCAATTACTTTGAAGGGCAGAGATGGTCTAGCGAGGTCCCAGAGATGAACTGTTGAATTTTGCGTCTTCGTAGCGCTAGAGTCATCATATGCGACAGCAACTTGCGCCGCTCTGTATCCTTGAGCTGTTGCTGACCAGCAGGCAGGCCTCCACGATACCGTTGATATTGGGGCTGGAGTTGTAAATGTATATCGTGGTTTCTGATTTCGGTCGGCCTTCTTTCCCAAATCCCATACATGACACAGCTGATCAGCACCTCCACTCACAAGATGTTCTCCATCTGGGTGCCATGAAACTGAAGAGCAAGAGGTCTGATGGGCAGGAATTTTGAGTAGTGGCGCACCAGTCTTTCTCATGTCCCATTTCTGAACTGAGCCTGAGTCTGTGCAACATGCAAACTCCATGCCATCTGTTGGCGACCATTTTACGTCCCGCACCGCATCTGCATTACATTTGAAAATTTGTGATGTTCTGAAAGCAGGATTGTGACCATGTCGTCCAGCCGGGGGAGTTCGTAAATCGAAACTGCGTACTGTCCCATCTTGACTAGCAGAGAGAAGCCAATTACATCTGAATGGGTTTATAGCGAGTTTGTGAACTTGTCGGGCGTGCTCTTGTATGCGCGCCACCTCATACCCCTCTCCTCCATGATTGAGATCATATACTGTAATTCTCCCATTCCCAGACGCCGTTATGATGGTTGAATCTAGCACGCCATGCGACCACTTTACCGCCCTGATATTGAGTTGATCGTGTGTTGCGGCGGTCAAATCATGCGTTGTCGCATAGGAAATAATTCCAGCTCGTAGATCGGTTTCCTCTTTGATTGTTGATCCCTCAACACGTATAATTTTGAAGACCTTAGCTCCTGCAATCACTGCGCGGTGTCCGTCTGGAGATCGGTCAAGACATGCGATAGGCGCGCCGATGTGGTGACTCGTGCTTTGCGAAGTAATAGGGCGAAGTTGAGAAAGGTCTGCGATGGTCTGGTCGGTACTCTGGGTCTGAGAAGGTGCTGGCTGGCCAAGCAGCTTCCTCATAATCTTCCCCTTGTTCATCCTCGCAGTCGTTTTGCCACCATAAGCGGCATCTCTGTTCTGTACATGGTGTTGAGGTGAAGGTGGAGGCGGAGGGAGCTTTGTTGTGCTCATTTCGAAAGCTCGAGTTTTGCCAAGGCGAAGCGGGCGGATCGAGGCCTCTCATTGGCTGGTCTAGACATAGCACCACCGACCCTATAAAATCGAAGTGTTAACGGGCAAGGCAAGTCCAAAACCACAGGTTGAGATACAAAAATGTACGAGCAGAGCTGCTTGGATAGGTTGGACGATGGAAAGATGGAGATGTCCTGCAGCATGCAGCTGTGGGGTAAGGAGATAGGGGGCAGTCTTCGGGCTCGGCAAGGTTGGTTTGCGCAGGATTCCAAGTGCCACTTCCAACTCCAGTTATTTCACTTTTCACAGATGGTGTAGGCAGGTCTCGTCATGTGCATGAGTCAACAGCGGGGTAAGATAACAACAGTGGATTCCTTTTCCACCGATATATTCGAGTAGTGAGTTCATGAGGAAACTCATCCCCAACCCTACCTTTTTCGGGGTTTTAACCCAAATCCATGCGACAGGATTTTGAAGGAATTCCGAGGCAAGAATTCTTGGAGATGGAGAGATTGTATGGCAGAATGGTTTATTCTGGAAAGCTCCAAGTTGATTGAGTAATCACTTATCAGTCGTGTTATCATATAAGTTATTCATTTGTCATAAAACATCTATGGAAAATGTAAGCGAAGGAGTTTCTGATAACCATTATTAAACTCCACCACTGTATCATAATTCCAAAGAGCAGACAAGAACAAAGTCACTTATTGATAAATGCAGTCTTGAAATGATATGAATTGTCGTGTTGCCCTTATCAAAATGGTTAACAAAGTATTTCAAATTTCTTCATAATGACTCCTAAGTCATCTAGAGACCGTAAATGCGCTTATGGCAAATCTCCGCCTCAGTTGTTAATTGGGTCAGGCCTTGGGTTTTCTGACGCTGTTTCAATAAATTCAAGCATGCCTCTCCCATTCATTATTAATCAATTATCAACAGTCACCTGACAGCACCATATCACTGACGTTAAATCAATCGTCACATGGACAGGGTGCGTTATCTGTGTTCAAAAATCTGATTCTGGCAGCTAGTTGTTGAAGATGCGCAACCTTTCATACGAGAGATCCTTTTTTCCCTTCTAAACAAATACAGTGTATACATGATCTTGTCGCCTGGCGATTTTATTTTCCATTCTCCCAGAGTCAAAGGAGTTATTTCATCTGGACTGAAACCTTTTTGTTTCTAATATTGGTATTGGTTTGCTGGATATCAAAAAGTCATTCCTCTTCTGCCCTCAACCCTACTCCCATATTTCCTCAACCAATTCTCCATTGCTCAGATCCGATGAAGTCAGCTACCATCCTAATCTCAACTCATACCCTATTCTGTCCTGAGCCTTCTCAAACCCAATCAACCACAAATCTTGTTCTTAGATATAAAAGCTGTCATAACAGGAGCGACGCAACCGGTACACGCGCACATCTAAAGGCATCATTCAGCATTAGCCATCCAAGTCATAAGAGCATACTCTCTCACCTTCTGAGTTTCCGTGGCGGCTCCGTCTGTACCCTTCAAACAGCTCAAGATGTTGGCCTTATTTCCACCAGCCATATACTTGTTGAAACAAGCACTCGCGTTGATGACAGCTCTGCAATTATCGCTTTCGACATCACATGGACCATCCGCAAGTGCGGAGGCTACGAAGATTGCGAGGATAGAGAATGAGATGCGCATTTTGATGGGTTTTAGGAGGTGGTTTTCGAGGAGAGTGATGGTGAGTATATGTGAAGAGAGGGTGAGGATAGCTTTTGAAATTGGTAAGTTTTCGACGGCACAATCTCATGGAGCAGAGCGAGAAGTTAATTTCTTCAATATTTCGTCCACTGGAGTCATGTGGCTTGTTCAACATGGTATTCTGCATCCGATAATCCGATGAAATGCTACCTTAGTTAATTGCATACTTATAGTAGTGAGTGGCCATTATTTGTGCATAAAGATACACAGTCATATCTATGAATATCATTGGGTGTTGGGTGGTATATTTGACCATGGGAGTAATTACCTTACCTTACTAGAGTATTGGTAGAAATCTTGGTATTATCCGGCACTTGGAAGCTGGTTACCAGCTTGCCTTATGCGACGAAAAGCTACCGAAATATCTGCCATTGGCCCAATTCAATATGCAGTGGTGCTCGGTCTGGTTTTAGGCTATCTGAAAGAGAAAGGTATACAGGAAGACGGCTAAGTATACCCCACCTGACCATGAAATTAATATATGTTTGGGTATTACCGGCCTTCTGAAAGTGCTAGAAAATCTGTGTCTAGACTATTAGTACAATCTACGGAAGTTGCCTCATGTCGAGTTAATCTAGATTTTGCTCGGAATCTTATCAACCCTACTGGAGTTACCTTTTGAGTTTAGGTGTATCCGTTCTTTTGGCTACTTAAACTATATTTTGAAGGTTAAAAAATCTCCTGAATCTTTCGTATTTTCTATTCTTCTCTCCTTGAAGGTATTAGAAGTTTTTGTTCCTCCAACTTAAAGGCAGAGAATCTGGAGAAGATTACGCAAATTGTATAGTAAGAAGTACGAGGATTTTGTTTGGAATTTGAACGGAGTACAAAACAAATCAATAAATCATTAGCAACTTATCATATTCGGCAGTTCGTTGGCCACTTACAATTGACACCCAATCATATTAATGCCATTGGTTGCCTCAGTACCTCCCATCAGATCTCGGAGGCCATCAGTCATTTAATAAGTGTGCCATCAAAGTTCCTGGATAGTATATGCTAACCCAGGCTGTTTTCAGCCGAGCTTATTAGAATAACAACGCATCCGCGCCCTGGACATCTTCCAACACCTCTCCTCTTTTCCTGTTGAACACTCATCTTCCAAAACTCAAGACCTTTGGTGTTAGTACGCTGGACAAAATGAAGTCGTCCACGGTGTTAATTGTTGCTCTCGCTTCGCTGAGTACAGCATTACTTCGATTCCAATGCTCTCAACTAGTGGTCCAAAGACTTGATCCATTAGTGGACCCGGGCAGCATACCATCTTCGCATGTTCACCAGATTGTTGGCGGTGTATGTTTGACCCATTCCCAATTTTGGTCATTGAGCCTGACCAAAGAAACCAGAACAGCTTCAACGCGACGATGGATCCTAGAAAAGATATGCCGGGAGAGTCGTCGTGTACAACCTGCTCATTCAGCGAAGATTTCTCGAATTATTGGACTGGTATGTTCATTACATCTCTTCGATAGATGCATAAGGTTACTGAGAAACAGTCTAGCCGTATTGTACTTCAAAGCAAGGAATGGTACCTACAAGAGAGTACCCCAGAAATCTCAGATTAGTGGAGCGACCGCTGGTATTACCGTGTATTACATGCAGGGTGAGTCTTTTTACATTTTCTTGTTTCTTCTGCCTCGAAGCAAGGGCATTGAAAATCTGTTATCTGTTGCATGATTAAAGTTGATGTGGTATGTCACAACAGATGCTCTCTACGATACGCAACAAAAGTCGAAGGTCAAATCATTTCAACACGTAAGTGCTGCACTATGGATATTGAAGAGCGCAAAGTTTCTAAAAAAAAACCGGACAGGGATTCCGAATGTTTATTGGGGATGTCAATGCCCGTTCCAAGGACAAAGTCAAACATTTCAGACAATTAACTTATACTTGTATGGACAACGACGGCACTCGAGAGCCAGAACTCCTTGAATTTCCCAAACGTACTTGCCCCGCTGGCATCATGGTTAATCAACGATTTCCAACATGTTGGGACGGTGTCAACCTCGATAGTCCTAATCATATGGATCATATGGCTTACCCCGAGACTGGAACATTTGAGAGTCAAGGTCCCTGTCCGGCTTCACATCCTGTACGGATGCCTCAAGTCCTCTTTGAAGTTGTTTGGGACACGAAGGTAACTTGCGATTCTATCCATTTCGCTCCTTAAGCAAGCATCGCTAACCCCAATTCCAATCTACAGGCGTTTAACAACAAAAACGATTGGCCAACAGATGGTAGCCAGCCATTTGTATGGTCTTTTGGCGACGCAACAGGATATGCAAATCACGCAGATTACGTGTTTGGATGGAAAGGTAACGCCCTTCAAAGGTTAATGGACACACCTTGTGTTGTCAACTGTCCCGCTGCAAATCCAAAAACTCAAAGTACTGCCGCTATGAATAAGTGCGCACAGAAAGCAATCGTGAATGAGAATGTGGATGGATGTGAGTCGAATTTCCGTACACCAAAATTCACCCTCTTTTTGATCACTTGAATGAGGATTGCTAATTGCGCGATGAATATTTAGGGCTCACTGAACTCCCTGGCGGGTATCAGGCCCAGTACGCTTAGCGAGTAATACTGCGGAAAGAAGGACAATTTTCGTTCGGTCGTGTCAGGCTTCCCGTTTGTTCTGGCCTGTATTCGGTGTTAGACAGTCATGGATAAATTGCTTGCCACTCAGGTAAATAGTATTTTTCTCGTGGAATCAGCTGGCTTCTACTTTCCAAATTCTACCTCAGTATTGCTCTCAATAAGATTGTACTTGAGTAAAGTCTATGCATCATACGACTCTGATTTACGTGGGCAGCACCTTAATCAGTTGTCGCCGAACTTCACTTGTAGTGGAAAATTATGGTATGCTATTAATGGGTTTTAATCTTGTTCCGACTGAAATAATTTACGTTATGCACATATCAAAACTCGTGCACCGTCATCGCCTCCAGCTTCATTCCTCTCCTCAACAGCCCACGGAAATACCCCCAACTGAGGCGACTTGAAGGGCCTAAACGGAATGTTCTTCAAGTCTACCGGTAGGGAAGGCATATCCGGCAATTCTTCACTCAAAGATCTCAACTCTGTCGTGAGGGTTTTCACACCAGTACTGGCCTTCCTGGGTGCCATTACCTGTCCAAATCCACTCTTGTAAGGATCCATCACCTTCAGGATCGCGTCATTGTCAAGCTTCCTAGCCAGAGATTTTGGAGTACGCCCATATTCATCGGGTGATATATGATCGGCCCCAGCTTTCATGAGATTTTCGACTGCTTTCGTATTCTCTAATTCGATGGCGGAGAATAATAGTTGTTCTTTGTCAATTCTTGAACCCAACTCTATCTCTGCGCCCGCTTCGACTAGTGCGACAGCGATGTTTAGATGGCCATTCACGAACGCTTGAAAGAGTGGAGTGCGGCCGAATCGATCTTTTTCATTGATTTTGGGCTTTTGTTGCAAAAGAAGTCTCGTGCAATCTAGGTATTGTTGTTCGGCTGCGAGATGGAGTGGTGTTGATTTGTTTCTATCTGGTTCGTTCAAGAAGTGTTTCGCGGGCGACTCGAGAAGAAGTTCTAAGACCAGATACGCTTCTTCGTCGTCGTTATTCAAGATAGCACAATGAAATGCTGTTCTCTCTGTTCCTACTTGTTTGAGTAGAAAGTCATGTTCTCTCGTTTTTACAGCTGAGGCAAGACGACCAAGATCGTTCAAAGAAGCCAGAGACCAGATAGGCAGTTCTTCTAATCTAGTACTCTGCGCTTCATCCACAACGCGGTTGGTACCCTTTTGGCAGCAGAGGTCCATGAGATCCGTATTTCCATATTGCCATGCCGCAGTAAATGGCGTTCGTTGGGCAGAATCATTAATAGATGAATCCGCTCCAAGTTGTATCAGAGTGTCAGCGGCGTCGAATTGAGAGAATTCGCAAGCTCGATGAAGAGGTGTCATGCCGTACTTGTCTCGAGAGTCGATATTCACACCATGACTTTCCAATTTTCTGATCATAGCAATCTGACGTTTCTCGGCGGCTCGATGTATTAATGTGCATCCCTCCTCATCTTCAATGAGAAGATCCGTACGATGCTTAATAAGAATTTCGAGAACTGCAGCATGACCTCGCTCGACCGCTCTCAAAGCAGCAGTCCCTCCTCTGTTATCTCGCAGATCTACAGCCGCACAATGAGCCAACAGACATGTCACCATACGCTCTTTTCCTTGTTCGACTGCTAATGCTAATGTTGATCGGCCACCGACTCTCTCTACGGTATTCACATCCACATCTCTACATCTCAGAATGGCTTCGAAGAGATTTTGAGAATTCTCCCATGTCGCAAGAGACAACGCAGTGTATCCATCTTGGTCCATAAGATTGATCTCAATATCATGGTGTTTTAGCAAAGCGTGAGCCATCTGCTCCGAATCCTTTCCACCACGTACAGCCATCATGAGCGGTGTTCGGTTATTATCCCTTGTGTAAGTCGAGTTGACATCTATGTTTTGACCAAGAAGTTTAGTATCCAACAGAAGGTCTACCACATGACTGTGTTTGTGAATGATAGCTTCATGCAAGGCAGAGCGTCCACGAGAAGATTTCATGTTGATTGACGCCCCTAAAGATAGAAGCGAGCTAGCAACTTCAAGATTTCCCCGTCTACAGGCATACATCAGCGCGCTTTGATTAAATGTTGGTTCACGCACATCAACATTGAGTATGGCGAAAAGGGCCGGAATCAGTGCCGAAAGATTAAACCATGCGCAAATGTGGAGAGCATGTATGTTTCTTCTGATGTCCCATTTTTGGTGTTGTTGTGTCTTCGTCTCCCAAGCGGCTTGTATGTACGCTTCTCTCCTTGAATCATCCTGAAGAAATTTCGTTGCTGCTGCAGCCACATGTTTATCTCCAGATTCTCGCACGTGGTCGCCCCAGTTATTGACAGCGTACGAAAGAAAAATGTATTTGTTCTCTCTTCCGGGAAACTCGTTTGGTTCACAAGTGCTAGAGAGGCCTACAAAGTTGAGATAGGTCAGACAAATGCGGGCGATTGTAGATTCTCCATCCGGAAACCATTTTCCCCGGGACTGGTCGAAATACTCAGATAAAGTACGGTCATCAAATCTCACAATTTCTCCACAATCTCGGCCGATTGTTATGAACCCCTTTGTCATATTCAGAATATCATTTCTTCGTGCTTCGTTGCCCACATTATAATCCATTTGTCCCTCTCTAACGGCAAGTGCCTGTTGCAATTCTTTGAATCGCAAGTCTCTCTTTGCGTAGTACACAATCGACAAGATCCTTTTCGTGAATTCCTGTTTGGCTGAGCTAAGTTGAGAGATTCTTTCAGAAAGGTCAACATCGTATAAATTATTTATGGTGTCTGAAAGACCGTATCGATCACAGCTCAGGTTCTCAGCTGCGCTTCGAATATCATTCGGTATCCATAGTTCTGATAACGAATTGATATATAATTTGGCAAGTAGAAACTTTCCGTTGGAGCTTTGGACGATTGAGCTTGTAATTGAGCCCAAAAGAGTTTTGTCTTTCGTACATGCCTGTCCTAGAGGAGTCGAAACACTATGAACAGAAGTCATATCTCGGTCAATTCCATCCTCAGGTGGCATTTGTTCTTTGAGCTTTGAAGTCACATAAGACGCCAGATCATCCTCTGGAGCACGTATGGTGACTTGAAGTGTATCTGGTGGTGAAAATAGGTGTTGCGGATCGTTGCTGCAAAGTTCCCCTTTGCCTTCACAACTAGCGCATATGTCAAAACGCTGTTCGTCCTGACCACAGCCCTGGCACGCGAAGAAGAACTCCAGGTCTTCATCCCCACATATGTCGCAATCTATAGGTCTTGGCTTTTGATCTTCGTCGCCTCGTGTTGTTGTTAGGAGTCTGATCTTTGAAGACATCTGTCGAAGTCCGTGTTTTATGAAGGTTCTTGTGTCTACAACAGCTGCATCCAGCGAATCTACAACAATGTGTACATGCTTGAATGGGTGCAGTTCGTCCTGTGTAAGTTTTATCAGTATCATAGCGACAAATGATCAGGAGGGGGTCTACATTGAATATTTCTTTTAGCTGGTTCATAGTCGAGAAACCGCCATTCTTTTTCGATCTCTGCCATGCATCGTATACAGGCGTCGAATTGCAGCTTGCCCCCTTGAACTGGATAATTTGTTTTATCAAACTCCCTATCAAGTTATGTCGATTGTGAGAATCAACAGGAGTCTTGTCAAGATATATGACGAGTACCGGCGTGAGTCGGTTTTGTGACTTCAAATAGTCAACCACAATCGACGAAAGAACGGTCTATGGCTTAGTCAGAAGGTGAACAATGAATGTGCTACTGATGCTACACCCAAGTAGAAGGACATTGCTGTGCCAAAAGCCTTTGAACAATCGACTCACATATACTATGGTCTCAGCTCATAACTGTTGGCCTTCGCAACAATTCATTATCTTAGGTACCCTAGAACAATTGGTTCATTGCTCTAGGAAACCTAAAGTTATGATATCTTACATCTGTACCCCAAAGAGAATATTCATCAGCTTACCTTTCCGGTTCCCATTTCGCCATAACAAGGCAGGGTATTTATGAGACCATCTTTCCATGCCTGGAATTGCGGAAGGTCTAGAAACCACTGTCCCGTCTTCGGAGCAGCGTATTTGTGGTTCTCGCTTTGACGGGCGAGGAAATCCAGAGGAGATAGCCTGTATGTTTTCAAAATTAGTATCTTAATCTTTGTGGAGTAGGAGTCCCAATGATTGGTACATGGATTCACCAAGCCCGAGGTTGGGTTTTCCAGACAAGACTGTGCTACTTACCACTTTTCGATTTCCCTCCGCTCTTCTTCTCCTCTCTTTGTTTCAGAATCGTGTAGCAGCTTTTTCGTATTTTTATCCGTCTCTCTCGCATATTTGATCTCGACAATATTCAAGAATGTGTTTATGCTTTGACAATATGTATTAATAACATCGAAATATTTCTCCAAATCGTTCTTTTCTGAGTGCCATTTCACATCTTGCTTCCGGAAATTCTTGATCACTCGCATGAATTTCGGTCCTTTTTTCACGTTTCTCTTTTGGCCTTTCGCTTTCAAAATTTCAGACACCACACGCATCGTCTTCACTAAGCCGACAAGTGAGGACGTTGGATCCTTGAGACATTCTCTCAACCAGGCTTCGGCAGGATGATCTGAGCCCGATGCTAATTCATTGAGGGCTTTCGATACTATTTCTACGCGATCTAATCGACAGCGAAATTCCTCTCTTTCTTCTCCGGCGTTGATGACATCGTCTGCGTATCGTTTGAACTCCTTCAGAGCGTCAAAAATTGCAATACTGCTCGCTATGACGGAGAGAGGATCGGACATCTTAATTTCCTCTTGGAACTTAAATCAAAGATACGGACGAAGCAATGGCCTACGTGGCTTCATTCGATCACTCGCGGCATCTGTGGGAGTTTGAGGAGCTTTGGAATAGTACCGGACTCTGTTCGTTGAGGCTCAAAGCGCGAAGTGAAGGGTGATTAGGTACCCCACCCAAATAAAGTAAAGTATTTGTTTTTCATCTGGATAGATATCCCAGTAGTTTCGGGCCCCCATGTCAAGATCAGCGTCAGCGTTGCACAGTTGAAGGGCGTACTTCATTTGATTCAGGTAGAGCGGCGTTAGTGATTAGTCTAAACTACTCGAGTATTCGTTGACAAAATCGGGCTTCGGGTTAATTGGTTCAGGTTAGGCCCGCCGCTTTTTGTTTTCTTCTTCGAAGGATGGACTCACATGCGCCTCAGCGATTGCAGTGCAGTATAAGACGTGCCCGCATTGGAGATAACAGCTCCTATTGTTTTGCATAATTGCTTTCCCAGAAATATCTTTTTCATCTTCCCGAAATATCAACGTCGATATGATTGGTTATCTATACGAGGATGGAATTTTGTGTTATGGATCGAGCTTATGTGTGGCCAAAACCCACTTTGCGGTTTCCCCTCGTTATTTACAAACTCCGACAACTTTATTTCAACCTCATTCTTCTCTCTTTGTCTTTCACAGCTCCAGCCCCATCTACTTCAAGTTCCAATTCTTTTACAATGGGATAGGAGGGAAATTTCAGGCAAGCATCTCGTGTTCATGGATTGCATAACGTGAGATTTTGGTCTGCGGCACAATTATAAAAGTGGAGAATTGCTACATCTACTGGTCAAGATTCTTTTGGCCCCCATGGTTGCTGGCCAAGATACCGAGTACGGTTTGTATTTGCAGCATGATATCCCCCAAACTATTTTCCACATAGTTCTGCTTTTGTGCAAAAGGTATCTGTAACAGCGGTAAGAGACGTGGTCGTGAGTCTGTACACACGTCTATTAGAATAATATTGTCCTAAAGTTTCACAAGTTAAATAGCTATGCTGAGTTATATAAAGTGTTTGTGATTATTATTGGCGCTTACATTTTATTGACCTGGGTATACTAAGCCTAAGACAATTGCTTTGCCCCTACTAAAAGCTTAGTATAATACAGCACTAACCGGGTATCTTGCATGCAAGAGGCAAGTCTTCTAGACGCCATCCCAGTCTCAGACTTGAAAGGAGTGTTTGAGCATGGAAGCCTGCCGTAATCTCCCTTTTAGGTCTTCATATCCACTAGCGCTGATTCTGTATCCACATGTAATCCTTCCCATAACTTCAGCTTCTCAGTGTTGAAATTGTACAGTACATATCACATCATGGGCTGTTCTGTAGTCTCCGCTGGACACTTGAAGGGTATGAATGAGAGAGAATATTTATCTCGTTTGGTCTGTTTGTTCAATATCATCGGCCGACTTCAACAATAGGATAACATGTTACAACTTTCTCTTTTACCGGCTTGTGTCCGGGTCCTTTTCTTAGGATTGGTAGCGACTAGCTTTACAAACGCTGCACCCTCCCCCGGAAAAAGGTCTACAAGAGTGACTGATTCGTCATGTGGAATACTCATGGATGATATGAAAGTAAACGGAAGTAGGTGTTTCTGCCCCAAAGTTCCTGACTTAAGCTGATCTTTGATGGTAGCAACAATATTCAAAGCAAAAGCAGTGTACGACTGTTGGGTATCAGTTCCATTCAATCCAGCCGTAGCGACCAGATTTCTGTCGTATCTCCACGACACCATACAGTTTCAATCGACCCTCAACTATCTCAAAGACCCGCCTACTGGGTATCAGCAGCCAGCAGTTGATCTTAATGCGGGCTTGCAAACCATTCAATATAAAATCAATTCTGGAACCTACAAGAATGAGTATGGGTTTGAAGTTGCTGTGCAACAGCTTTTGTTTGCCGCTCATGACGATCATCTTGATCTTGTGTGGGGCATTTTTGGTGCTTTCTCGTTCGGTGCTCCATATGATATTGTTTCCGTCTCGCGCGATGGTCTCGAATTGCCTAAGATTTACTTTCTAAGTAAGTGCAAGCACAAATATCTTCCTCTACACCGTCCATTCAGTTCCAGCTAACATCAACAAGATGATATCATAGCATATCAAAAAGGAGAAACACCCTTTCCATCGGCAATCTCCAAAATAAACGAAATTAACACTGTTGATTATCTACGAGCTTTTGCCAAACAAAATGCATTGGGCTCTCTTGAGCCACACTCTGAATTCAACCAAGTGATGGCCAGTCCGTCCCTTGATATACAAGGCCTTTCTAGTATCTGGACGGGAGACGCAACATTCTATCCAGGCGAGTCACTGACCTTTACTCAAGAGGATGGAAAGCAAGTAGGACCCGAGCCATGGCTGGCAGTATATAACGGACCAGGTGAAACTGGCCCATTGGAAACAGGTACGTACAAAGTGGACTTGAGCGATCCCTGAGCTAATCCTTGGTCAATAAGGGGGTGATTTCTACAACTTCTTTGTTCTTGGAAACTACCCTGCTTCTTTCCGACCTTTCGCAGATTACTACGATTATTCCATACCTACAGTCGAACAAGAAGTGGGCGACGATGAGCCGACCTCATCAATAAGCAGTAGTCCTGCCTCAACTACAGCAACATCAGAACCAACTTTAACTGGTTGGGATCATGCGGCTTATCCCGGTGCCGCCGATGTTGCGCAAGATAACTTTGGGACTTATGGAGGAGGTTCTGTTTCCGGATATTTCATCAAGAAATCCTCGATAGCCGTCCTTAGCATTCCAACTTTCAGTGCCTCTGGTGATGACATTGACACCTTCACCGATACAATCAGCGCCTTTCTAAAGAAGAGTAAAACAGCAGGGATGAAGAAAGTTGTAATTGACCTGCAACAGAATTATGGAGGAGGTTAGTATTCATATTCTCCATGTGCAACTTCGTTGGCTGGATCTGAGAGCCTCTCGCAACTTATACAGTCCCCGAGAAGTATGCTAACACACAACATCCTACAGATATACTTCTTGCATACGATGTATTTAAGCAATTTTTCCCTCTAGTCGACCTATATGGAGGAAGTAGACTGCGTGCCCATCCACCAGCAGACATTATGGGCAAATCGATATCTACATACTTCGAAACGCTTGGCCCAGATGACGACGATTACATCTCATTGTTTACAAATGAATGGTTATCGATAAACCGAGTGAACGATAATACTAATCGTAACTTCACGTCATGGTCTGAGTTCTTTGGACCTAATCAGAAAAGTAAAGATGCTTTTACTACACCAGTAAGAACCGTTTGGCTCTCAACACATGATGCCTAATGACTAATAAAGAACAGCAACGATATAATCTCTCCAGCCATCTCTTCAACACCCTATACGTAGGAAGTTCAAACGAAGAATTTTCCCTTCATGGTTTCGATAAACAATCGACGTCTGAGGCCCAACCTTATGCTGCCAAGGATATCATTATTCTCAGCGACTCTTTATGTTCTTCAACCTGTGCAATATTCATGGAGATGATGCACCACGACGCAGGTGTGCGAACTGTCGTAGCTGGAGGACTGCCCATCAACGGTCCTATGCAAACTCCAAGGTACCTACGCACTCCAACTTTCTTGCTAATACTAGTACTGACAACCATTAGTCTGACCCGCGGAGCTCGCTTCTACGATATCAAGGATAATCTCGATCAAAATATCAACTACGCTGAAGCTCTTCTGAAGTATTTCAAGAAGCCAGGGGGCAACTTCCTTCCCAACCGTACCGCCGCATTAGACGTCGTAGTCAATTCCGGTAGTATCAATTTACGCGACCAGATTCGAAAAGACGGCGATATCCCCGTCCAATTCTCTTATGAAGCTGCGGACTGTCGTATATATTTCACCCCTGCCACGGTGTGGAACTACACCGCACTCTGGCAATACGCGGCAGATGCGATTTGGACCAACCCAAAGCTCTGTGTCCAGGGCTCCACAGGGCATTCAAATATAAACAACACGAAAACGGCTGCACCTGCAGACACTGTACTCCTCACTTCAAACGCTGCGGAGATTCAAGCTCCTGAGGTGCAATTGGGAGAAGCAATCATGTCAGTGATATCCTCTGCGCCAAATCTCGGGGAAATAGGCGAAGCAAAGAGCGGAGCCGATTATTCCACAACCGCGATAGAAGATTTCCTCGACAAACCATGCGCAAATTTCTCCAAAGGATGTCCCAAATCGAGCTTCTGGTGTCTCAAGTCATATTTGGCTTGTAACAAAGCTGGGAAGGCGGTCACTACGCCTTCGTGTGTCATACTTTGCAAGCCGAATAATTTGGGAAGAGATTGTCCCAGTAAAAACTGTCAGGCTATCAAGCTGGATGATACTGCTGCATCCAAAACTGCTGTGCACAATGGTAGTGGATACTGTGTCCCGAAACCGCCGTCCTGTAAGAAAAGTTCAAAGAAAAATATTTCAGGAGCGGACACGCCTCCTGCTCCTCCATAGGGTCATTTATATGCAAGCAGGGGAGGGGTCGGACTAAAAGGCTGCAGAGTAAGGATAGCGTAGTAGACTAGTAATATCGTAAAGAAATATTGTAACAAGATATCATAAAGTTCCCAGCGACTTGATTCTCATCGATAAAAGATACCCTGGGACCGCCAATTAAGGACTAGTAGAAATAGTTGATGAAGTAAACGTAAGAAACCCGGTCATTACTCTGTACAGTACATACATGCCAGGTTATCATGCAACAAACCCACAAGGTCATTAACCCTCAGGACGGACAAAAGATATCTCAAAAAGAAAGATCCAAATCCAACCTCCTACTCAAGATATCTGAGATTGCGAAATAATATGGAGTGAATTCTTAGTACACAGCCAAGCGAGGAAAATTAATGGGGAATGATTCTTTGATTTTCTCAATTTATTGGATAATTTGTTCTCAGCATACAGCAAAGAGAAGCCAGGACAAAACTCACACAGCAGACACACAACTTTTTCGAGGAAAACTTTTCTTCGAATTCCATCAATCCCGCTCAACCAAACGATAGCAGC